TGCTTATCGCCAGGGAGTTCCGAAGGGATTAAGTTTTGTTTAATACATATCCTTTTATTACCGTTCGTATTGCAATTTATGTCATTTACTCACAATTTCCTCTGTGTGGCCAGCTAACTGCTGTAAAAATTATCTCTTTAATACATTTAAGGTAATTTGAATTTTTTTGTATATCATTACATAAATCTTTTTATCTAGCTTCATCACAGTCACAATAAATATGTCTTTTAAATATGTTTATGTCATAAAGTATTTTAAATAATTTTACGCAATGGAATATGGAATAGAAAATGTTACATATAACACATACAGAGAAACAGTTAAGGTACTGTGTTCGTTTTCATTAACTAACATATTGACACATTATGACTTAATTTGTATATCTAGTGTCAAGTTGATGTCACCAAATATCGCAAATTGAATATTCGTATAATTCTCAAGCGTTGTTTAACTTGTTTTAGAAATAAAGTAATTATTTTGACAGACAATGCTTCTAGCGAAGTTCTAGGCTTGTATTGCGAAATCAATATTAAAAAAATGTTCATTGACACAGTCCTCATTACCACGTAGGCCCATGTGCACATGCAATGACCATCGGTAAAGGCATCCAGCAGAGCAACGAACAAAAAGGAGGGTACAAGGTCGGAACATTGACAGGACCGACTACTGACATGTAGCGACACATATCGTGTAATTCATAAAATTTAACATTTCTAAACAATAGAATGGTATAAGTGATTGAAAATATCTGTAACTGTTATAATGGAGATAAAAGAGAAAAGAAATATTCAGATATTTACTATGATTTATGCATTTGTCTATACACTGTGACATCCTTATGTGGTTTATCGGGGAAATAACCTTTCTTTGAGCTTTAGATTATAAATGATATTTTCTTGAGCAAAATTTATCATCAGTTGAGTGTTTTACAAATTCTGGAGGTCCTAATCCATTACACAAAATTTTCTATAACATGTATATCAGTATGTATAATATTGTTTTCGTCTAAAGAAACGTTTACATCTAAAAATGATACGAGAGATATAGACACGTTCGCTGTAAATTTTATAGATGGATGAGAGTTATTCAAACTATCAATGAAATATGGCACCCTCTTACGCTTCGCTTTTTATGGGTAAATTTGAAAATGACTTTTTAAGCCAACGTTCTTTAAAACCCAGTTTATGGTTCCGTTTTCTTGACGATATATTTTGCATATGGAGTTATTCCCTTGATGATTTGAATGCTTTCATTGATAGTTTACAAAATTTTCTACTAATTGAACTTTAGATTAAACGATTAAAACACTGTATATCTATGGAAAAATGACAAAAAGACACTACTGGTATTTTTATTTCATTTCAGATAATGATAATAGAATTGATTCTGACAAGCATTGGTGATTTTATCCCACAAAGAAATACCAGAAACTCGCGAAACATATGTTACAGTTTTCTCTTTAATGAACCATAAAATTGTCAGAGTCTGACCTATATGATATCTGGTGTCAAACATCAACACAATTTACGACAACATTGAAGTGAATTGATTGTAATCAATTTAGTTCTCCACCAGAATATTTGGCATGTGTCAAAAAAAAACACGCGCAGACTTAACGATTAAAACAAATAGTTGGAATATCACTAGCAGTATCTCATGACTGTTTTTAGCAGAATGTTCTAGAAAGTTGTATTGCGACTTTAGAAAAACGATTAGCAAACGGGTGATCTACTTGGGTGAAAAGGATGAAACTATAGCATCTATCTACATAAGAATCTCTTGATTTTATTTCATTAATATATAACCCGATTATATTACTTTGTTAATGTACTCTATGGCAAAATTACAAACATTTTAATATACTGCATAACATTTTTCATTTAAAAATAAAATCTATCTTTTGCTCTGAAATTTTGAGAAACAATTCACGGTTTTTCGTTTTTTCCCAATTATTGGCCACTCATGTATTAGTTGTAGTCATCCACAACTTTTGAATAATAGAAAAAGTAATAAATATATATATAGTTTTGTAATTTTTGTTAGTTACTTCTTAACCATTATTGCTTGCAGCCTTAGAGCAAAAATGTCTTTACTTTCTCATGAAACATAAATTCAATTTGTTTCCGTTCTAGAGGAGTTATTAGAAACAAATCACAAACTATGAAGAAGAAACCATATCCAGCTAAAGGGACAGCAAATAAATAACTATTTTCTTCTATAGTAAGGGAGAAGATAAGTTAATTGATATTTTAATCATGCATTTTAGGAATATGAAATGTTTATCATCTGACATAAATAGTTTGATATAAAAGTAGTAAACATATTTGAATATCATAGAAAATACTGAACATTTATTAATAAGTGTTCTGATTATATTTATTTAAAAAAACGTCACTCTTTTTAGTTGTGATCTTAAACATTGTCACTAATTTGTCACTAACAATTCATTGCCGGTTGTATTTTTTTTTTTTAATTATTACTTTATTGTGGCTTATTATTCGTTCGTGCAGACAATGTCAGCCAAATCTTGAACAGCAAGGCGAAGAACGGAAGGAAAGATTTGTCTAATAACAAACAAAGTAAGACCAAAATTCATTTCCCAGACAGACCACATTGCCTGTGTTACTTTGCAGATAAAAACACGTCATTTGGAACCATACTGTTTGCTTTCTTTAAATGCAATGTAGCTGAACAGGTTTCTTAAAACTATGTTGTTTTTTACGAATAAAAAACTCACCCCATAATGTTTGTAAAAGAACATTTGATAGCTTAAATAGCTTGACCTCTTATTGATGAAAAATACCGTGTACGTCAATAAGCAGCTTATATTTTGTACATATGTTCATATTAACCTGTTTCCCTGAAGCCTTGAATATACATACATAAGCCAGTCTTTTCAATCATTTATACTTAGTGTCGGACAAGTTTGAATGGAAAATGCCATCTAAGTTCAATAATGTAATATATGTGATCTAAGGCAGAATGTCATTTATCTTTTAAAGACAAATACACGACACAAAATTTGATTTCTTTTAAAATGTACTATAATATGAAGGGGTTTAACATAATTATGATGTGTTGATGTCAAACAGTAGCAATGCATTAAGACGTCAAATGCGAATGAATAGAGAAGAATGTATCATGCGATTAATCATTTTTCATTTTTAACACCAAAGCAAATTTGAAACCTTAAATCATTTTAATGTACTGAAATAAACTCTATTTACCAATAATATGACGTGAATGTTATAAAGATAGACGTAGAGACAAACGTACTACATGCATTTCTAACTACTGACAGATAGAGAGTTTGTTGCTGGTTGGTTGTTTTTTTAACAATGAACATGTAAAGAACGTGTGTATTTTTTGACGTCTGAGAATTTCATTAACCCTTCCCCCATGAGCATATTGTGAAAAATGGCCGTTTTCACTGAAAAGCCTCCTGTTACAAGTTCAAACTGCTATGAAACTATGAAAAATGTTTCAATACTAATCAAACTTGACACAACTGTTGACTGGACCATTGCCTTTGTAACGACATGCTCAGTCTTAAATTTCCTGTTACCATGGCAACGAGGGGACATCTCAAAATTGCCAAAAAATCACTATTTTGCCTCGATTTTTTCCATCAAAATTTATTTCAAAGTGCTGCAACTTCTCAAGGGATTGAGACAGAGTCAAAGGCTTTTCAGCGTTGGTTACACGTTACCTTATGACCGACCTGGGGTCATTTTTAGCCTCTCACAAGTCCAAAATTTTCTTGGCGATGAGGGGGACTCAGCCCCCCTTCAAACCCCCATACAGAAGGGGGCACGTCCCACTTCTGGCAACCCCCTGATGTATCTTTTGGATGGGGGCGGCGCCGAAAAAGTGCTCACTTTTTTAGCAACATTTCTCAAACGAAAACATGTGTTTGGGGCCCAAATAGGACATTTTTTTCACTATTTCAGGCCTAAAAAAGGGGGGGGGGGGGGTCGAAAGTGCGTTGTTTCGTGTATATATGAGGTAAAGGGTTAAGAATGTTTCGAATATGAATAAAGCTATATGTTGTCATGAGGTTTGTAGATTATTTTATTTTAGCCTTATATTTAAGTAAGCGTATGTTATCGAAATTGATTAGATATTTTGATATCAATTTCTTATTTATGCATTATTCAATTTATTCATCATTTTAAAGCAGAAATATAGGTATGACATGGTATTATTTGATATCGATATTGTTATATTAATGCATTATTTTCCTTATACATTAGGTTAAAGCAGATTAATCAAATTTGTTAAAGTCAAGGTAACCAATATGCATTATGTAGTTTCTACATAAACTTGTAGTTTATAACTTACCAGGACTGAGATCATGCCGTGCGCGTCTTAGTTGGTGGACAGCGTGAATTCGATATCAAATTACTATTGTGTCTGAATCACCCGTGTTGACAACATCAAAGTCACATTCACGTAACAGCATTGCCTAACGCTTTTGTTACCGAACATACTTCCTCTATTTATTTAAGAGAGAGGTTTTAATTATAATAGCTTTTGTTTAATTATATTCAGTTTTACACATCACACGTTCCAATGACGTTTTTTTTTTTTGTTACTTTATCATAAAAATAAAGAGGAACGTTTACATATTGTAAGGGAACATTAAATCAATAATAAAGGAGAGGTAGGTGATAAGAAAAATTAACTCCAAATTTAGCCACTTGTTGCTTAGTTTAAAACTGCTGAAATTTCTGTTGTTTTCATTTTCTCTAATTATCTCTAATCATGTAAATGACTTTTACACTTAATTATATTTTTATATTTCAATATAATATAGTTTGCATATACCAATAAATCATTAATGCTCAAGGTTCTTCCAATTGAAAGAAACAATCGACATGGGGATCTAGTTTGTAAACATTTATACTGTAAATTCATTCTACCTGTTGCAAAGATGTGAGGAACGCTAGCCTTTACAATTGTAGAGATATTGGGCGTATTCCTTTCGCGGCTCCGAACACTCGGAACAGGTTCTGTGGCAATGGAGTATTTGAAAACACTGCGTTACATTCTTCAGAACATGTTCTGACTGTTCTAATCTAATCGAGGTGCAGCGCACCTGCTGAGGGCTCCGTCACATGTTGCAAGATGGCTGACAGACGAACGATTTTTCAGTGCGAACCTTGCAATCGTCTTTTTGATGACATGACTGTCTTTGCAAGACATAGCTGCGCACAGACGGGTAATAATTCAAGTAAAATTTATAGCCAAAGTAGTTTTTACTTAAAAGCATACTTAAACCTCAGTCATATAAAAAGGCAAAAGGCACATAACTCTTTAGGACATAGTTTTCACGATTTATGTCCCGTTTTGACAATTCGCTCCACCGACAATCCGACCCATAACGACTCGCCCCCCTTTATAAATGATTTGCCCACTTCATTAAACATTATTCATTTGAATTAAGGAATTTTTATGATTTGAGTATTGTTTTCATTTATCAGATTAACTTTTACAGAAAAGATTTGAATACGAGGTAAACAATATTGATGCTATTGTATCGTTGATATTATGAGGATCAATAATATATATTCCAAAAATCTGTAATTTAGACTTATTGATTATTTAAAACCCTAAAAATTATGAAATTTCACACAAAACATACAGTAGCAGGTAGATTAGGTGTTGGGTGGATCATTACGAGGCAAATTACTAACTGGCACCTGCCAAATTAATTACTGGAGTAGCCAAGAAGTACCAGAATACAACCTGTAACTTTGTTGTCAGTTAACTTTTAAGTTCTTTTTCTCAATTTGCATTTTTAATCATGACTTTATTTATCGTGTCCTTGGATGCCCTTTTTCACTATCCATTTTCAGGTCGAAATAGTCGAGCAAAATGTCTTTGTCAGTTGTTTAACTTTTTTTCTACTTTGCTATACATTTGTTTGTGAAGAGGATAGAAAAAAGTTGCACACATAATATAAATGGGAAATTCACTTAGACTTGGTATAATTATGGCTTTGTAGTGGAGAACTTATTATTAATTAGGGAAATTTCAGTTAGTATAATTAGAAAAACCTACTGTAAACATCAGGACATGAAAATATGATACATATATATGTAAATGGTTTGTACATGTTGCAATTATATTGATTACCAGACAAACCTTGTAGGATTGAGTTAGCAGTCTGGTTACCAGACCTGTAGCCACTTAATGATTGATCATAATCATATATAAGTATGTAATTCATAAACTATTTAAAATTCTTTGACTTATAATTACAGATTCTGGAGGCTATGATGCACCAACTTTATTTGGGGAGCAAGAGGCTATAGACTCACCAACTGATAACAGTTGTTCAACTTCAAGTTCTAGTGAAGCATTGTTGTACTGGACAAGACCGGCAACGTTATTGCTTATTGAACAATATAAAAAAATAACTGAAGGCAGTAAAATGAAAAAAAAGAAGAAATGTGGAAAGAAATTTCTTTGTACTTTGAGCAACATAACTACACTTTCACTCCCTCACAATGTGAAGGAAGATGAAAAACCTTAATAAGGGGCTTGAAGAATGTTACCGACCATAATAGAAATTCTGGAAATAATAGAAAGACACATCCATATGCAGAGGCCTTAGAATTCTTGGCAAAAATGCCAAATATACAGCCTAAATATGTGTTAGACAGTAGTGTCAGCTCGAATGATGAAGTTGTCGAAGCTGAATGTATATTTGATTACATATTTATACAAAGTTTCAATTAGAATTTGTGTTTTCTGCATCAGCTTATTCTTAGCCAACAGTTTCAATGTAATAAGGTTTAAAATATTAAGGTCACTGGAGACTTTCATTAACGTATGTTAAAACTTCACATTGTAATCTCCATTAACTCTAAAGTAATGGTAAAATATTACTAATCTGTCAATTAACATAAACCTAATTGCTTACTTTAAAAAAAAACAAAAAAACAAAAAAAAAACTTTTGCATTGTGTTTCATCACATCACATTACTGAACCCTGTGAACAATATAAGATTATCTTGCCCTCTTGTTACACAGAAATATTCATAGTGGTAAAATACAACTCTTCACCCAGTTGACAACAAACCAGTTGCTTATTAAGGAAATTGAATTTCTTCTCTATATTTGCACTGTATCCCTTGTTTTTTTATTGCAGGTGTAAAGGATGATGACTCTGCAACAGTTACAGACATAGATCAAGGTAAGCTGGAGCCTTCACCTCCACCAGTAAAAAAAAGAAAACAAGATGAATTTTTGTCCATGATGAAAGATTTTATGGCTTCACAACAGCAACGTCATGAAGAGGAAAGCAAAAGACAAAAAGAAATGCATGATCAAAAGATGGAACTCTATTAAGTGCTTTAAAGGGAGACACAGGCAAAATTTTCATTTCTTAGTTTTGAAATTTTCATTCATTATTCTGTAAATGTCCTCAAAATGAATACACTTAACAGTCAAAGGAACAAAACTTTTCTCCATATAAAGAATAAAATGGTGTTTTCCTAACTTGACCCGCGTGGGTCAGGTTAGAGCGCTAAAATTTCACAATAGTTGTCACTCTGTACTCTGGAAACGTTAAAAAAACATGTCAAATCAATTACTTAGACTTGTTTCAATCATACAATACCCACAATATTTGTTATTGTAACTTCCAGGGTTTGTTCAAATCGCATGACTTGTTTTTAAACTATTCGGTGATTCTGTTCGCGTCAAAATTTCGTTCAACATATATAGATATATTTAAACTTCAAACCCAAAATATATAGAATTTATACAGAAATTCATGTTGGGACTTTAAGAAATGTCATTTTAGGGTGATTTGAGTACAGAAAATCATTTTTATATTTTTGCCATTATTTTGCCTGAGTATCCCTTTAAAAGATGGCAGTAAATGAACTTACACAGCTTGAAACATTTACATATCCTAAAACACATTTTTATTGTCTACCTTAGAATTTCTTTATAAACTATTCTTTAATAGGACCATTATTTTTTTCAGGTCATGAAGAAGATATCTGTAAAATATGTTGGGACACAAAAATAAACTGTGTATTGCTAGAGTGTGGCCATATAGTAGTGTGTTTAGGTTGTGCAGCACTTGTGAATATTTGTCCTATTTGTCGCTCAAATATTAAGAGAGCTGTGAAAACTTACCGCACATAGAAGCAGACAGTTTTGTTATGTTTTACATTATTCCTCATTGTATCGCCTCTACGAAGTAGTGGCGACATATAGGGATCACTTTTCTATCGTCTGATTGTCTGTCTGTCAGTACGTCTTGTCACCAAACTTGTTCAGACTACTCCTCAAAAACTGTATTTGTAATTTTATCCAAACTTTATCGAAATACTCAATACCAAGTTAAGTTGTACATATAATTGGCATTTTTCATTTAAATGGTTTTTTGTTAGAGTTATGACCCTTTAATTATTTTTAATCTAAAAGTTTGTCTACACTACTCCTCTTATACCATTAATGTCATTTAATTGAGACATAACAGGATTGTTTGGTAGTTCAAGTACTTGTGCATAGTAATTTATTAAACGGGATTTCCAATTGAACAATATTTTTGCTGAGTTATGACCCTTGAATAAGAAAGGTATAAATAAAGTTTGTCCAGACTACTCTTAACCACCTATGCAATTTCAATGAAACTCAACATGATGGATTAGTGGCTCAATTGATTGTGTATTTTACATGAGGTTTCCGCTTGAATGATTTTTGGCCGAGTTATGACACTTGAATAAAAAGGTGGCTTTTTGTGTTGCCAAGTACACAAAATCTTGTCTGGATTACTCCTTAGAAATTACTGGTGCAATTTGATCCAAACTTTACAGGAATATTGAGTTGTACATATCATTGGCTTTTTGTAATTAAATGAGTTATGGCCCTTTGATCATTTTTTAATTTTGTCTGGACTACTCCTCCTATACCACTTACGCAATTTCAATGAAACTTCACAGGACTAATCAGTAGCTCAAGTACTTGCACATACTACATGGGATTTCTGATTTAAATGCTTTTCGACAGAGATGGTTCTGGAAGAGAAAATACTTGTTTTGCCCTGTTAATGTTTTTTGTGCTTCCTGCAACTACTGCTGCAACTCAGTAGTTGCAGCATGAAATTTGCTGTCATGGGGCGACACATGGGATCACTGATAGCTCTTGTTTTAGGAAAGCAGTTTGTGTCTTTTTTCAGTTTTAGTTTTATAGTTGTTATGCAGAGGTGATGCATATATATTTTATTTTTGTAATTTAAAGGGGCACATTTTGTTTGTTTTGTAAATTGTCGGAGGATATTTACATTTGAGAGCAAAAGGTAAAATATGCACATGACTGCCTTCAAAGAAGAATTGGAAAAGCTAAAAAGCTCTTGGTGAGCATTTTAGTAAGTTTTGCAAGCAGTGTCATGCTTTGAATAGTGGATATATGACCGACAAAGTATTTTCATCTGTGTAATGTATGGTTAGCAGATACTTTCCCATTGCTCTAAATTGTTTTATTTAGTTGTGCCCTTAACTTGAGGTAAAGTTTAAAATAATGGTTTAAGTCTTCATCTTTCAATAGCTGTTATTGTTGCTTTTTTACTTTATTTTACAAGTCTGCACTTGAAGTGTATTAAACATGATTAATTCAGTAGCTTATTGTCTGATACAATTGTAACTTAATAAAAGTTTTAGTAATCTTGTTCAAGTAGGTATAGTAATTTTCAACATTTTGTTTAATGATTGTCATTTTGGTGCTCAGATGAGCCTTTGGTTCTAGTCAAATTTGTTTTTTGTTACAATAATTCATATAAGTATATGATTTTTTAGCTCACCTGAGCATAAAGTTCTCAAGGTGAGCTTTTGTGGTCACTCAGTGTTTGTCGTTAGACCCAGAGTTTATTTGTGGCGTGTTCTTTGATCAGAATGATTGTATTAATAAAATCTCAGACGAATTCGAACATACGTAATGTGAGGTCTAAACTTGGGTCACAAGGCCAAACAATGAAAAAAAAATTTGTGAATTTTGTTGATTTTAAGATCTGCCCAATCTAAGTAATCTTTTGAAACCAGATTTTTTTCTTACATGTAGACACTGATATGTTTTAATGGTACTCAGGTGAGATGAATTGGGCTTTCATTGCCTTCTTATTTAACTCATACATTGTTGAATTTATTTGTTTAAAGTTTATGAATAAATTTATAAAAATAAAGAACGCTGCAATTGATTTGTCATGAATTTCTCTAGTCCATCTTCTAGCTAAAAATTTCTGAATTTACTTTTCTTTAAAAAAGGTGAAAAAACAGCCTTTTTTTGCTTAAGTTTAGTTTTTGATTTCAATGATATTTCATTAGGGACACTTTTTTAAAAGCAGAAAGCCTCCAGATTTATGCTTATTTAATGAAAAATTTGAAAAAGTATTTAAAAGTATTGTATTGTATAGTAACCAAAAGGAAGCAACTTACACATTATCGATGGCACTTACAACACACAGTAAATTAGAAAAAGAGGTAAAAATATGCAAAAAATGCCCTTACTGCGTTAGTAACGCAGTAGAAATATAGTCTTAAATAATGAAGTATTAGCAATTAGTCAATTATAATATGATATTTTTACTTGAATCTTTCTACTTTCCCTAATGTCTTAGTACATTTTTCGCAAGTTTGACTTCATTGAAATATTTTGGCTCATCTGAAGGCATGCTGCTTTAAAGCCAAGTTCCTGGGCAGTACCAGTACAAGACCATACATTAGCATGTCTGAAGCTTTCAAACTTGATAAAATGTTTTTGGCGGGGTTAAAATTCTTAACCTTGGAAAATTTGAGCACAAATGATACATGAGTGTGTTGTAAGTTAGGCTAATCAAGAACAAAAAGAGTTTACACATGCATTCTTTATTTCCCTGACAAATATTAATATGAGTCACTAATATGTGTAACAATCACATTCAAGGAAAATTTCTAGCAAGTGCGTCACGCTTTGCGATGCCAGCATATTCACTGTTTACTTGATTATTGTTACGGAAATTGTTCTGTGCATGAACATTAGCATAATGGTCATCATCAAAGTAGTCTTGCATTTCATCTCCATTAATAATGCAAATGTTATGTACAATAGTACAGACCACTATTGTATCTACAGCTGTCTTTAATTCTCTAGTATTGATATACTGAAGTCTACAGAAACGACCTTTGAGCAATCCAAAGGCTCGTTCCACTGAAACACGTGTAGAAGAGAGCGCTTGATTAAAAGCTCTCTTTTGTGGTGTTGGATGCCAATTATCTCGATATGGGGTGATTAACCAAGTTCGTAAAGGATATGCACCATCTCCTAATAGATGACCATTGCCGCACAAATTAAACCCGTTCTCCCATAAATCACTGTTTCTCAGGACCCTTGCATCATGAATACTTCCAGGCCAGCTGGCTAACACATGGGTAAAACGAAGATCTCCTCTACAGACTCCTTGCAATACTATTGAATGATATCCTTTCCGATTTATATACACATCTTTGTGTTCTTTTGGTGCTCTTATCTTAATGTGGGTTCCATCGATTGCTCCCAATACATCAGGAAAATTAGCTTTGCGACGAAATGCATCGATAACCTCTTGCCTGACATTGTTGCTAGGCCAAATAATAAATTGCTGCTTCAGATGAGTTAGAAACACACTAAATATTCTATCCTTGCACCTGACAACTGAGGATTCTGTAACATTGAACCTGTCTGCAATGCTATGTGTAGTGTCTTGTGTCGCAATATACCACAGTGTAATTAAGAGTTGTTTTTCTATATTTATATGGTCTCTTCCTCCTGTCCAACTGGGTAGCAGCTCTTGGAACTCACCAAGATTTTCACAAATTATTTCGAATGTTGTCCTAGTCTTTCTAAAAAATCTTTTAAAGTCGTCTAAGTAGTACATTGGAATTGTTCCCTCAACATATCTTTCAACTTTTTGTCTCTCTCTGCGGACACTGAAATAAATTGAAATACATCATATAATTAAGTAGCCATATTGGATGACTTACAAACTAAAGATTTATCCCAAGTAAACTACTTATTCACTAAAGTCCATTATATTTCTGTGTCATTAATGCTATCATCAGTTACCTTGAATGACAGAAAATCAGCAAATGTATGCATATGATATACAGTGTATACTTACATACTTATACACAAAGGCTACTGTGAACCATGCATTTAAAATTGTTTTTAAATGCTGCTCAAATAAATGTATCATCTATAATATCATATTTAACTTACAACTTTGCCGCAATAATTAGAATGAGCATTGCAGACTCATCAGTGTCAATCTCCATCCCCTCTTCACAATAAATCATCTCCTCCATTAGCACAGAAAGGACTGCAGCTCTTGCAACAGCCATTTTTGATACTGATTAGAGCAGTGTTCCGAAATTGCTCCATTCAGAACACAATTCTAGAACAGTGTCTATGTTCTGAAATATTGCTTTGATTGCAACATAATTCTAGCACAGTACGCTTGTTCTGAAATATTCCTTTCGTACATTTGAGAAGAGCATTCCGGAACACAGAACAGTAAGCCAGAACAGGTGAATGGAATACGTCCATTGTCGTCTAACACATACTTTAAACAGTTTCGATAGGTTATGATTTTATAACAGGACGTTCATGTTAGGGGCTTATTTTTTTTACTAACGATTGTAATTGGTCTTTAAGTGTGTCGAAATAGTGTATAGAATAATTTTAATGAATATAGAACTGAAAAGTGAGTAAGATTAATATACTCGTAACAAACTACATTGTGAGAATTTGCAGTTTAAACGACAAGATTGGTGTTATCATCTTTAGTTCCGATTAGCGTTGCTCTTTCATGTGTATGCTTTCATCGATCAAAGCTGCTTTTCTTCGTTCCGCTGTCACACTTTACTTTACATGGTTTCCGAGTAGGAGTGATTGATGCAGAATGTCCTTTCTGATGGTTATAAAAGGATGATAGCTCAGTTTCACATGTTTCAAATGTTTTTATGGTAAAAAGTTTTAATCGTTTGATTTCAATCTGCCAAGGCACAATAATCACTTAATTTGACAACGGTTATATAGTTTTTCAACAAAATACTGACAAAAATAAGGACTTTGGTATGTTTTATGTTTTATATCTATATAAACATAAATATTTATTATAAAAAAAACTTAATTAATAAAAAATTCAACACTATGTTAATGGTATATTAGGTGATGATATTGCAAGCTTCGTAGTCACTACGATTTTGACTTCGATTGATAAAAGTGTTCTTAAAGCATTAGTATATTATAATTACGACCGTCCATTCTCGGTAAAAAGAGGGAACTGAGAACGACCTCGCTCTGCGGAGACAGTCACATGCTAAAGTCACCGCTCTTAGAACGGCACTATGAAATTGACATATCAGCCCCCTGATATTGTGTCGCCAACGTATTAATTCAGCTTTGCGGGGAAAATATTGCCTGACATCGATGGTTTGTGACTGCTATATAATATACATGTTTCAAGGACTACAATGTTTTCTTTTGCTGCAGTGTGATGAAATTATTTTGAAATGAGATTTACATAATAATAAATAAATGTACACAAGTTAAATGTTGTTATGGCGGCGATATCACTTTACCTTCTTATCTTTACTTGTTCATTAAACCTCGAGTGTTGTCAAAAATATAAATATGGAAAAGTTTACAAACGTATATTCAGACTGACTCAGACTGAGAATTCACGTAAATTATGACTTATTATGAGGACAATAAATTTCCTGGAATGAATCAAATACATGTAGTTCATCGAAGACTTATTTTATTTGACATATGAGAACAAAGATTTAAAATGTTCAAAGACAAAATTCAGTCACACAGGACCACCAAAAAGACAACCAAAAGGAACCTAACAAAATAAAGAAGAGAGAACAAACAGGCGAATCATGCAGGGGAAAAACAATTATTGAAAGCAATTGACAACTAAAAGTGTTATCAATCCCATTATGCTCATCCAAGTGTTCATGTTGAGTACACAGGTAAAAGTCAAAATAACATAACATTTTGCCATTATTGTGTTCAATATTTTTATTATTACGATGCAAAAATAATCAATAATGCAAGTTACCCATGGACATTTCTATAAATAAACATGTAGTAAAAGATTTATCGGTATCGTTCATTTTTTTAAAGAGTGGAGCAGTCCTTTTATAATTAAGGTAGTTTCTATATTTTTTTTACATTTTATCAATTACATGTCCATTGATCAAATATTGGTCAATCACCATTATAATCAATCTTTTGAAATATATTGCTAATTCAACTCAACTTGACAGCCAACATAATGCCTATGATGTAATATTTACTTAGTATATAGAGAAGAACTTTAAACGATGAAGGGTGAAATATGGAAAACAAGATCAACAATCAACGGTGGCGTTCAAGCCCCACACCGCCAAGCAACAAGGACCAGCGGCCAGGAGCCCAGGGGGACCCTAAACAAAAACAGGACAGGGCACAAGGCAGAGCATGGACAGGATAAACACTTAATGATACATAAAAAGGAAGTTTATATTTTTTTGAAAAGGGAGAAGGCCTGTGACAGTTCTAAGTAATTCTCACTAGAGAATATACGTCGCTTACATTCTTGGAAATTTTAGAACTAAGTGAGAGTTCTTTTTATTATTATCTACAATGAGAAATGAACGATGGCAGGAACAACACAATTCGTTACAGTCCTTCCATTCATTAACCAGGATATTAAAAACTCTGACCACGTTTGTATGACTCTGATGGCAACAACTCTCTCCAAATGAATAAGATTAAATACATCAGTGCCATTTTTATTTCTAAAACATCAATTTAGTTCGGAATGGTAATATTAAGAAATATAAGAAACACATACAAAGCCATTAAATGACAGTTTCCTAACTTGTATTTGATGTCAAATTTAAAAAAAACATAGATTACAACAACGTAAGTCTTATCTAAATTTATTTCGAACATTCTCGACCGGAAGTCTTAAATGCAAAAAAATGATTTATACACTATCAGCAGCGTTATTGTCATCTTAAACAGTGTCAATTCCTAACTTGTTATATATTTCTGGACGTTTAAAGACTCCCTTGTCGCAATTATTCTTACGTGTAGACCATGTCGGTCATATCAGAACAATAAAGTGAAGACGAAAGAAAAGGTTTGTCAAATAACAAACAAAATGAAAGTTCATTGCCCAGACAGATCACAATGCCATTGTCTCTTTTGAGACGAAAAGAAAAAACAACTTTAATTGGCATGACGTTATTTTCTTTGTATGAATACAAATGTTGCTGAACAGGCAGGTTTTCTCTATGTTACTTTTTATATAGCAAATTTGATAGCAACAAATATCTTGGCCTCTTATACACGAACAATACCATGTATGTAAAGAACCGTCACATAATTATTACAAAATTTCTGTATTTTAACAAGCCAACCTTAGGCTTCTTATATAAAATGTCAAAAAAATATATATAATCAAGGGAATCTTAAGCTTTAGACGCCCTTTTTAAATCACAATGTTTGTCTATCGTCAAACTTTTCTATATATCTAAACCTACTTAAGATAGTCATTGCCTTCAATCATATGCCCTAAATGTCGATATCAAACTTTTCAAAGAAAGAAAGAAATGATATATGTATACTAAGGTTATATATGTATTAAAGGACAAATGTCATTTATTTGTTCCTCGATGCCGATAAAGATGAAATGCTTGAAAAGAAATTTTCTACAAAAGTCCTCTTTGATATCATAAGAGATTGACCTGGAAAGGTTGCTGATTTCGAACAATAGTAATATACGAAAAGATAGGAAAAACTTTATTCTGTATATATGTTTTCTTTTCAATAAAAAATAACTTAGTAAATTAGAATTACATCTCCATATACCGAAACGTACACTTTTAAGCAAGTGCATGAAGTAAATGCTTGAATAACGGAGACATGAATATGTTCATGCATTACGCCGGCTGCCTTTGAATGTGTGTGTATATCATTAGTCATGTGGTTTCCCGAGATGATTATTGATAATCGGCAGGGTGGTTCGAATGAACAAATGGCAGATTATCAATAATAATATCGTTAATTATTTGTGTGAAGAAAAGTAATATAACCTTAATCTTTTACTGAAATAATATTTACCAAATATTAGTGTAATTTTTCAATCAATTTATTTTTACCAGTATGGAGGTACTACCAAACGACATTCATTCTTAATAATGTCTGTCATATGTTGCGGTTCGGACCGGAATATCCGTCCCGAGGGGACCCGCCCATTGGGTGGTAACGAGGCTTGCCGAGTTACCGCTAATGGGCGGGTTCCCGAAGGACGGATATTCCGATCCGAACCGCAAACATATGAAAGATATTTTTCTTGCATATTCTGCAATATTATTTCATATTTAAAATGGTTTACCTCAATATGATATATGTTCATGGAAATTAAAGTCATTTCATCCATAATTATTTTCTTACAATAGCGTATGAACTTACAACTTAAATAACAACGGCGAAATGACGTCATCGTAAGCACATATTTCCCTTCTAAAATGACGTAATTTTAACGCGGTTCATTGATAAAGTGCGCTAAAATGACGTTGTTGTTTGGCACGCGACTCATCTGGCACCCCCCATGCCAGATGAAATTTCCGGCATGGGTAAAACTCACGGAAACGCCAGTCTGCTATGCAAGAATAAGTACATACCTGTGTATTACTTGCAATGGATTCTTTCAAATGTGTCCGATATAGACACTAAGTAAATATGATTGAAATAAAATACTGGCTTTTGAATATGTGATAAAAGCTTTATATCACAAATGGTTACAAACCCATGAGTATCATGATATACAATCGTTCATTTAACAAATACATATTGATCAGTTGATCAATAGTAACATAAAATGCAGGCGTATTATGGCTTCAGAGAAAAAGGTTCATGAGAAAAAAAGATAGCATAAGTGTGATTTAGATAGGAAAGGAATTGGCATTACTAAGTATTCTCTTGATTAAATATAGTTATTTGTCATTTTAGATAAGCAGCATATGTTTTTGGCTTTTTCATAAGCACGCTGTTGTCGTCAATAAGATGATAAGAAACTTGTTGCAATTTATTAACTCTTAAAAGGTTAGGTAATTGTGAATCATAATTTTGCACTTTTTTTAATTCACAGTTAGATGAAATCTGTTCAACGTAATTTGTATTTCTACAAAAAAAACTAATGTCGTATCATTTCAAGTTTATCCCCTCCGCAAAATTACAATATGATCAATTTGAGAAATAAACTTTGCTTTCATTATCGCTTGACAAATGTCATTCATCTTACCATCCAATCTTTGCACTGTTGTTGTTTTTATATTTTTCT